TTCACCAAGATAGTACCCGTCAGCAAGTTCAAGTCAGCTTTGGACTCGCTGCGTGTAAAGGCTGAGTAATCAAACTCAGGACCGGGAAAGGAATCCTAAACTATAACAAGTCAAGTTCAATCTCTCTAAGGTATCATCACTTCTTCTGTTCCATGTTTCATGTTCTTACTTTACTAGGTGGAGATTTGTTGAGAATTAGTAAAGAAGAACACAAGAAATGAAGAAGCTTGAGGAACAAGTAATGCCAGCAATGCAATAAGACACGTCAGACGCAGGACCACAAGACTCGAGTAGCCGTTTGCGTTGGTCACTAAAGCAACGTTTGAATGGTTAAAGCATTTCTTGTCTGGTTGTGGTAAAGTGCATCCCTGGATAAGCTCTACCCAAAGGAGCTAGAAGACAAATGCGAGAGGCAACTTCCTGGAAGCTGCAAAGGAGCGTCTTGAGGACTAAACGGGAAGGATCCAGAAGGAACCTAGGTTAAGTTCTCTTTGTCTATTTAAGCTGAGCATTGTGGAGAGAGAGAAAGTAGGAGAAACGTAGAGACATTCAATTGGGAGTAAACTTGTATTGAGTGTTCTTGGGGAAACAGAGAGTGAAAGAGAGTGAATCTGAGTTAGCTTTGTAAAGGGCTGTGAGGGTGAGAAATCTCTTTGTAAATCTCAAAGGTTATAGTGGATTCCGGGAAAGATTTCCCGGCCCAGACGTAGCACCGTTGGTGTGAACTGGGTTAACAATCTCGTGTGTGCTCTGTTTTTCGTGTTAACCAAGTTCTTCCATTTATTCTAAACACTCAAAGCTCTGTTCTTTACAAGTTCTGATTCTAAACGAAGGTAAAATTCATTACAAGCCTTGGTAGAAGTTGGTCTGAACTTCACAGCCACTCTAACGGCCATGAGCGAGAATGGTTCAATCACAGAATCTTTACGGTCCAGTCTTGGTCCACTTGAACACCCGGTTTGCGGATAGTCAGCACCTTTGTACCTGAAGAAGCTACAAGCCCACCCATTCGCAGCGGTCCCATCTCGATCTCTGCCTTTTGATTCAACGGTTCGACCAATGCAGATTTCGGTCCTGAGCTGTGTCCCAAGAGGATTATTCTGTCGATCAAGCATTGGGAAGAGAGACGAGCTTGTGGAGGAGCTAAGTTCGTTGATGTAAGAACACCATTCGAGAAGACGAAGCGGCGATGGATGTAAGAGCCTCGCCTGAATTCAAAGCTTTTGCCGTCGTCGATGTAAAGTTCACCTTCTGCTTCTTGAGAACTGTTCAAAGCTACCACCTGAAGGACTTCAGATGTTAGATCACATGGTTTATCATTGGAATTTCACTTTCAGAGATATATCTTTTTACCAAGCGGTTTTACTTTGTTCATTGTGCTGATAGCAGATGAGAAAACAGTGTGATGCAAGTGTGGTACGTACCAAAGTATAAGGATCATTGTCCATTTGAGAGGAACTTCGCCTAAACCGGTCCTTCCTTGGGATGATGGTTCCTGCCTTCTGAAACGCAGGAATACTCTCCTCTGGAGCGTCCATCTTGTGAGTCTTGCCTCCAACGTAAGTCTTACCGTTTCTCAGGTCATACCATGATTCTTTGCCAGGCAAATACACGGAAGCTTGTGTTGTTCCCTAATTTTGCATAAAGACGAGAAGAGAGTATGTGGCAGGGTTTGATCATTTCTCTGGAGTATATGATTAATTAAAGAGACACAAAGGCAAAAGTTTAAATAAGTAGGAAGTTGTACTTAAGCGCTCAAGTACCTTAGTGTAAACTCCTTGAACCAGTAGACCATTACCGACCATGAAGGCTTCATCGTTGCTAAAAGTAGCTTCATCTTGCGGGAATTCCATCCATAATGGGCGTACAACAGGAACACCCGTAACGTTTGCTTCTCTGAACAGCGTGTAGAAGTATGGGAGCAGTGTGTAACGAGTGTGTATGGCATCTCTCATGAGTTCTGTGTTCCGTTCACTGAAACAAGAGAACATTGATTTTATTTGAATGAGAAAGTGCAAAGTTTATGAGTCAGCAAAACAAAGGCAGAGAGACCTCAGGACAATCGTTGCAATGCTTATTTGATGAAACTAATGGCCTAACTATTCAGACAATCAATAGACTACAGTGCAACACCAGGTTCTATTTTCTGCAATTGTATTCACATCTCAATAACCATTATCACTGCATTTCAATCTGCTTAATAAAGTACAACTGAATCCTTTTTCTATTAGTCATCCATCAAGCAAATATTCATAGACTAGACCTGGACCGCTTATACTAAAATAATACTTCTTGATAAGAAAAAATTAAAGCACGAAATCACATCTTACCCGAACAACCAAGGCTCTCGTCTTTTGGTATCATGATGAGCATGACCCCTGAAAAATGGATAGTAAGCACCTACTTGGTACCACCTAACTAGAAGTTCTGGTTCAGGATTTCCAAAAAACCCACCAATATCAGCTCCTGCAAAAGAAAAGAAAGTTTCCATTATATTTGAGAAAGAAAAAAAAACCGCCAGCAGAATTCGAACAGCTAAATTTTCTTGTACCCGAGAACGTAATTCCCGTAAGACCAAGTGTCAATATCATTGGAATGGAGACTCTAAGGTGTCCCCATTCGGCTGTGTTATCTCCAGTCCAAATTGCTCCATATCTTTGAGTGCCGGGAAAGATTGCTCTTGACAATACAAAAGGCCTATCCTTTCCTTCTTCACGCATAACAAGCCCATCGGAAGTCGCCATGTGAAAGTAATATCCATATGCGTTATGAACTTCTCTGTGTTCAACACCCCCAACATGTAATGCATCTCTTGGCATAGTAACCTACTCCAAAAAAAACTAGTGTCAGTCTCCATCTCAGTAATAGACTTTTACATATATCATACACTTTCTACGATAAGTTATAAGCAAATCAATGCACTCTTAACAAAGTCACAGATATAAATATCCAATGTAAGACCACATAAACATAAAATGGATTTTAAAATACTTGCTTTCGTCGTGCAATATTTGATAAAAGGTGTCATAGTATGCAAGATAAGGGATATATATAATAAGCAATCAGAGTTCAAACTTATCCATAATTGCGCAATAGAAAAACAATGGATTGCTATTTTTAACAGCAATCCCAAAAACGAATATGAGAAAATGAGCTATACAGATAATAGAAAAACATTAACGGAACAAGCAAAAAAGACCAATCAGACAGAAAGTTATACCTCGGGACCATTGAATACGGAAGGCTCATTCATATCATTCCAGGTGTATAATGATGGAGTTGAACCAACATAGTTCTTATATGAGAACCTCCCACCCCACCATTTTCTAATCTCTGGGCTCAACATATCAATGTAAGAGGATGAACCAGGCCAACACCAACCATCAAAGTCTTTTCCAGATGAATCCTTAACATAGTATCCCATCTGAGTAGCCTCCTTGTGTAAGAAGTATGAGTCATCCCTCTTGATATGAGGATCCACAATGGTCACCATCTTCCTACCCTTTGCAGCCAATTTCTTTTGCATCTCCTCTGGATGAGGAAACAACGCACTATCCCATGTAAAGTATCTCTTCCCATCTGTATGCTCAATGTCAAGCCAGAGAACATCATAAGGAATATCGTGTTCATCGAATTTCGAGTCCACCTGTGCCACATCCTCCTCATCTTTGTAGTTCCACCTACATTGATGATAACCAGTGGCAAACAACTGAGGCATGGCTGAAGTACCTGTCACACTTGCATACTGTTTCACAACATCCTTTGGCTCAGGCCCAACGAAAAAGAAAGTATCCACGATCCCTGCCTCGCTCATCCAGAATGTGTCGATCCTACTCTGACTAGAGGGCAAAGAAATACCACTCTCTGCATCCCAACCATTAGCCAACACATCAATCTGCATTTCGGCAGCATTCAACCAGAAAAATCCTGAAGTTTTACCAGATTTCCCATGTGAAACCATGAATGGAATCGACCCGTAAAGCCCAAATGGTGATTCATGATCGTATTCAAAAACATCTAGATTAAACAGCCTGTAGGGTTCAGATTCCTCAACTCCAGGACCCTTTGTAGGCTTCAACGCGAAGCTAGTAGCGTGTTCAGGAATTCCGTAAACGAAACTGGAATCATAAAACGAAACATCGAAGCTAATGGATTGAGGACCAGATGGTCTAGAATCCGTATGAGTCCTAAACTTCTCTTCCCAGTTATCTCCTTCAGTTTTCCTCCCCAACTGCTCAAAATCAAATAATCCATGAGAATTCAATGACACAACGCGACGGCGATCACCTGATTTCTCACGCACATACACTTCAAACGGATCGTGCCGCACCACTGCCTCATAGCCATCGGATAAATAAACCACTGAAGACGGACTAGTGTCTCCAGAGATCGTCTCCGTCGCTACTTTCTGCAGCCAGATCTTCTTCTCCTCGAACTCAGACACTACCACATCAGGAACTTGAAACCTCTTCTTCGGCGGGTTCAACGAATGGTCCTCGTCGATTTTGAGCCGCACGATCCCATCCTTGTAAACCGAGAGAGATAGAATCAACGGCTTGATCTGATCCCCATCGCCATGATTAGGCGTTTTCGGTAGAAGCTTCGCTACGAGATCTCCATCAGTGATGGAAACATCGCCGACAATCAGAGAACACGCGCCGGGAGTACGAGATCGAGCGCGTTTACAAAATGGAGTTTGGTCACAGCTGCGAAACTCTTCCTTCTTCCATGAAAGTGCTGTTTGGGAGCAGAAGCAAATGAGTGATAGTACAAAGAGAAGAGATCTCATTTTGGTTCCGTGTTCATGGAAATCCTTAGATTGAGGAAGAAATGAGGAAAGCCAAAAAATACAACAGTGAGGAAGACGATCTTTCCGGGTCGGGTAAATATATAACCGACCCGTTTATTAAACTTAAGGCCCATAGCCCAAAGTACGGTCCATAATCCGGCCCAAACTCGATTTAAAAATTGGTTATTGGTGTATGTAATTCTAGATCTGTCTTCTTCAGTCAAAACCCTAATTTGGAATCGCTTTCTGAAGATGATGCCGGAGAAGACGATAATTACGTCGGAGAGTTCAAATCCGTATCCGTTAAACCCTTCATCTTCGCGGATTATCTGCCATGTGTGTAATAAGCGGTTCTCGCAGTACACTTGTCCTCGCTGCAACTTCCGGTACTGCTCTCTTCCTTGTTACAAATCTCACAGTGTCCAATGTACTGAATCTTTCATGAGAGAGAATGTAAATGATGAGTTGAAGCAAGTTCGATCTGATGATCAAACGAAAACGAAGATGCTCGAAATTTTGAAAAGGTTTCACGAAGAAGAGGAGGAAGATGATGGAGGAATTGACAGCATCACGGATGATGAAGGTTCGATCTTACCGGAGGAGATTATTGAGAAGATAATGAATGGAGATGAAGTAAGTCTTGATGATTTGAGCTTAGAAGAGAGAAAAGGGTTCCAAAGAGCCTTAGCTTCTGGAGAATTAAGCAAAATGATTCAACCATGGGATCCTTGGTGGTTACGTGCTTCAGCTCGAACAATCAATCTTGGACTCGGAGGTACACAACTCGTTCAATGTGTTGAAGAAGAAGAAGAAGAAGCCATTGTTGTGAGTGAAGTTCCACGAGGGCCTGATACACCTCTGATTTCACTAAGCAAGCTCAGCTCAACGAATCCATCTCCTCTCTTACCAATCCATTTGATTGATATCGTATATAGCTATTGTTTTACTCTCCGTATCTATAATGGAGAGTGGCAATCTGATTCGTTAGGTGCAGCAACAATGGTGTTAACTGTTTCATCAGTTTTGGGTCAGAATGCACAACTTGAGACCATTAAGGAAGTGTTGGCGTTTTGCTTGGAACAGACATGCTCTTCGGCTTATAAGAACCTTGGCGGCGGTTTAAAGTTCGGATTCATTCTGGTCGATGATGTGATTTGTTTGCTTTCTCTTGGCTCTGGAGCTATGGTATGTCTGCTCTGTGATCTCCAAAGGTTGATTCTTGATGCAATAAAGGAAGTAAAATCATCATCAGGGCGTGATCTGAAGAAGAAACTTAAGCTTGCAGAAAGGAAAGTGTTCTTCATGATGTGTTGGGTCAATGAGCAGAGTTCTGAAGTGTGGCAAGCTCTGGAATCATCAGTAAGGGCAGAGAAGAACTCGGTGGTTGAGCTCAACAATTGCAAAGGGGTTCCGAAAATGAAGAAAATAGATCAATTCCAAAAAGGCGGTGGCGTGGTGATTGAGGAGATAGAATGAGTTCTAATGTTGTAGTTATAGCTTGATAATGTAAGGTGTGTTAACAAATGAATATCTTGTGGTGTTCTTAATTAAATAATGCAAGGTGTGTTAACTAGGCAGACAAAATATATCTTCCTTGGTTTCCCTTGGTAGCATATGAATCCCAAATATTCATAATCCTACCTGGAACATGATGATACCTTAGCCAAAAAACAATGATAAATTTGAGAACTTTAATGGCTTTCTAGTTTACCATCTCTGAGATTGCTTCCATGAAGAGCTTTGTAGAGTTGAGCTTTTGTTGACTCTTATTTTAACATGTCTGTTACTTACTTGTAGTTGGGTGTTCAAGCGGCGAAGATGGATCCAGAGAGAAGGTTGTCACTGAGCCTTTCAAGATATGGAATATGGCGGCTTGCTCTGTGACCTTCCAGGTTGCTCTTTCGTCCTGAATATTGGTTGTTTTTATTTTGCTTAATTACGTTAAATTTCCTAGAAACATGCTTTAACACTAAACCAATGTATCCTTGATTTATTTATGGCCTGTGATGGCATATTCACCCAATTAAATAACTTCCCCGTGTTCTATTGTCAAAGAACCATTGATATCCGTCACTCGTGTCCATTGAGCCCAGATGGAAATTTGATTGGTATGGTGTATACAGATTGTTTTCATTGCAGCTAAGCCTAAAAAAGCGTTTCAAAGAAATAGTTGTAGTTTCAATTAGATGCGAAGTAGGAACTTGGGTATCATTTTCCGTGTACATGGGTTTCTTACGAAAGCAATAACGAATACAGATCTTTTATTTCTTCGTTATCCGACTTACGCCAACACCTCAAATCTTCTATGTTATACTTAGTATCTTGTCTTTGTGGCATCTACACCAAATTTAATCAATCATTTGTTTCTGTATGTAGGCTGTGTGAATGACTACATGAAAATATTTCAGGTACGGGTATCTCTTGTTTATATAGAGACATGACACTTTCCTTCCATTTTCTTATAGTTTATTTTTTCACTGTTTTACTACTCACTTCGTAGTCTCAATTGCTCTTGATGGTAAAATCAAGGCCTGGCTCTACGATAATGTTGGTTCTCGGGATCATTGCGACGCTCCAAGATAGTGGTGTACAACGATACTAAATAGTGCTGATGGAGGCAGGTACATCATTCTTTTTTCTGCCATATATCGAAAATCTTCCAAATATAATTGATAGAAGTTCAAATTTAAGTGAACATTTGCTGCGATTTTATATTATTTTTTTTGCGGTGATGAACAATGAGGTTTGATAACTCATTAAAATGAAACAAAATATAAATTGAAAACGAGATATCTACATACATGTTTTTTATCATCACCTTCGTGACATGGATTCTAGAAGATTTACAATGAAATATAATAATTAATATTTATAATCAACATAACAATATTAGAAAATTCAATAAAAGGTAATCTAAAGAGAAACACTCTAAACTTAATATCAAATATAGCCAATAGAACAAAATCTTCGCATAGAAAAACTCACTTTACTATTACTTTCCTTAGACGTGACATGTGCTTTTTTGTAATCTTTATGAATGCAAAAGCAATACAAATTAAATTTCTCGCAGTCATGTCGTTGATAGAATCTATGAGTTCAGTTATCTCAAATGACAGAAGTTAACAAAAAATGAAAATATGATCTTGCTAAACTTTGAAAACAAAAAAAAATATTGTCAACATTTGTTTCACTCATCTCTAAAACTACACCTTTCGAATAATACCTTGTGCATTTACCTCGAAGAAACTTCTCATTGCCTTTCCAATGAATTCGAACACCACTTTTACCGAGAAAGGGAACAAAAGTTTCATAAGAAATATACTGAGGAAATCAAATTAACTCAAACATATTTTTATTATAAAAAGAGATAATGAGAAACACATACAACATTTACCATTATGCCTCGACATATGAGTTTCGAATTACATGGGGAGCTTGTAATAGTTGATGAGTCAGACTTGCTAAAAGGGAAGTTCATCTTCAATTGCAACTGTCAAGTTAAAAATAATACATAATATAATTATGAAAGACAACACAATTATTAGAACGGTGTAGGAAGTGAAATTGGAAAATAACGCCTATTTGAATATCGCTCTGTCTATTGGGGTTCCGATAATCTCGTTTTCACCATCATGTCATCGAAAAAATATACATTGTTTCATCAAATAAAAAAATCTATATTGTTTTATTCATACCGTATATTCAAACACTTTCCTAAATGTGTTATTGAAAATCCTTTCAAGAATCAAGGACGTTGTATTTTTCGATCTGATGACTTGGTCATTATTCTTTTTACCATCAACATAGCATTTGACAACTTCCTTTTTAAAAATATAGAAAGCATTAGGAAGCTTAATTGTTGGCATTATCTTTTAACAAAAACAATAAACAACATAAATAAATGACTTTTAAATGTTAGTTAACAACCAAATACCTCATATTCTATTACAACTACTTCATATGTAAACGACCTGAACAATCTACCAGGGAATGGAATGGAAATGTTGGTTCTCCAACTCCAACAACATCACGTTCATAGATACTTTGATATAAGCGTCATCTCTACTCTTGAAACCGTGACTGTTCTTCACAAACGCAATTGTCTTCCCATTTTTCATTTTAGCATACCGTATTGAAATTGTATGTCATGCAATGAAAGTGAATTATTTGATTCCGATCCACGATAAATGCCCAATAAAAATTAGGAAATAACATGGTTTTAGTTAGTAACAAGTTTCTACTATACAATATTAATAGAAACAAGAAAGTCATAAAAATTACATAAATTGTATTACTTATTTATTTACGCCTTCAACTTCGCTGAACTCAGAATCGAAGATAGCCAAGGTTCCTAGTATTGATTGGATTTTGAGGTAATCAAATGTCTTATTTACACGACGAAAAGTTTTCACATTATTCAATACATGCTTGAGTCTCACGTTATTTAGAATACCATTAGAAAATTTTTACTTCCACATCTAATACCTTTCCAATCATCTAGTCTTGGCATCCCATGGTTCATTGCATATTGTAGGTCTTTGAAAATATAATGCCTATAACAGTAGTGATCTCCATTGATTTGTTTGTCTCATTGATGTTATAGGCATTATACTTTCAGAGACCTACAATATGCGATGAACCATGGGATGCCAAGACAATAAGATTGTAAAGATATTAGATGTGGAAGTAAAAAATTTCCTGATAGTATTCTAAATAACGTGAGACTCAAGCATGTATTGAATAATGTGAAAACTTTTCGTGGTGTAAGTAAGACATTTGATTACTTCAAAATCCAACCAATTCTAGGATCCTTCGCTATCTTCGATTCGGAGTTCAGCGAAGTTGAAGGCGTAAATAAATAAGTAATACAATTTATGTAATTTTTTATGATTTTATTGTTTCTATTAATATTGTATAGTAGAAATTTGTTTCTAACTAAAATCATGTTATTTTTATTGGGCAATTATCGTGGACCTGAATCAAATAAATTCACTTTCATTGCATGACATACAATTTCAATATGGTCTGCTAAAATGAAAAATGGGGAGACAATTGTCTTTGTGAAGAACAGTAACGATTTCAAGAGTGGAGATGACGCTTATATCAAAGTATCTATAGTCGTGATGATGTTGGATAAAGAACCAACATTTCCATTCCCTGGTAGATTGTTCAAGTCGTTTACATTTGGAGTAGTTCTAATAAAGTATGAAGTATTTGTTTGTTAACTAACATTTAAAAGTCATTCATTTATGTTGTTTATTGTTTTTGTTAAAAGATAATGCCAACAATTAAGTTTCCAAATGTTTTCTATATTTTCTAAAAGGAAGTTGTCAAATGCTATGTTGATGGTAAAAAGAATAATGACCAAGTCATTATATCGAAAAATACAACGTCCTTGATTCTTGAAGGGATTTTCAATAACACATTCTTGAAAGTGTTTGAATATACGGTATGAATAAAACAATATAGATTTTTTTTATTTGATGAAACAATGTATCTTTTTCGATGACATTATAGTGAAAACGAGATTATTGGAAGCCCAATAGACAGAGCGATATTCAAATATGCATTATTTTCCAATTTCACTTCCTGCACCATTCTAATAATTGTGTTGTCTTTCATAATTATATTATGTATTATTTTTAACTTGACAGTTGTTCCCTTATAGCAAGTCTGGCTCCTCGACTATTACAGGCTTCTCATGTAATTTGAAACTCATATGCATTGTGATAAATGTTGTATGTGTTTCTCATTATCTCTTTTTATAATAAAAATATATTTGAGTTAATTTGACTTCCTCAGTTTATTTCTTATGAAACTTTTGTTCCTTTTCTCGGAAAAAGTGGTGTTCGAATTCATTGGAAAGACAAAGAGAAGTTTCTTCTGGGTAAATGCACAAAGTATGATTCGAACGGTGTATCTTTAGAGATGAGTGAAACAAATGTTGACAATATTTTTTTCTTTGTTTTCAAAGTTTAGCAAAATCATATTTTCATTTTTCGTTAACTTCTGTCATTTCAGATAACTGAACTCATAGATGCTATCAACGACATGACTGCGAGAAATCTAATTTGTATTGCTTTTGCCTACACAAAATCAATTGAATGCGAGAAGAGTATACAGCTCATACTAAGCATGTGCCTGTCTGAGGGATTTGATATCTTACATACTCTTTTATGCGATGATGGTTGTTGTTTGATTGATCATAGTACGGTGAGCAAAGTTTTTTTTTGACGAATTATTCCTAGAGATTCTTTGTACGAGTATAGTGTGAGCTAGCTGTTCATCAATTTTCCGTTTTTTTTTTTAATCTGTGTTTTAGGGAGTTTATGGCTATCTAATAGAGATTCAAGCCCTTTTCTTTATGGCCTTAAGGTGTGCCGTGCTACTACTGCTTAAAGAAGATGGAGAAGGTACAGAAATGGTGGAACAGATAATTAAGCAACTTCATGCATTGAGGAGCTACTTTTGGCTAGACTTGAAGCAACATAATGACATTTATCAATATAAGACAGAGGAATAATCTCACAGTGCTGTCAACAAGTTCAGCGTAATCCCCGATTCTATTCGATTTTCGACTATATGTCGCCTCACGGAGGGCTTTTTGTTGGCAATGTTAGCCCTACAAGAATGGATTCCTCTTAGTTTGCCTTTGGTAATTGTATAGCCATGTTGTCTTCCTTGGCTACTCCTGAAATTATCGATCTCATAGAATCTCGCTTGGAAGAGTTGGTTGGAGAAATGCCACTGAAAGTTTGCTATCCCGCAATAGGAAGCCATGAATGGAGAATAGTAACTGGTTGTGACCCTAAAAACACTCGATGGAGCTACCACAATAATTTACTAAGTATCCTCCACATTTATTTGGATTCTAAAGTAACATTTTTCCATTGCAGTGTTCTTGTGGTACAGTGCTTATATGGCTACTGACAGCTACTTGTATTAAAACTGGTCGACCTCAAAAATAGCAAGACGAGCAATTGAAGTACCAGAGGCTAGGCTTCATAAGGATCATTTGACTGAATACTATGATGACGGTTAGCTAGGGAGATACAAACAGGCACGTAACTGCCAGAATTGGTCAATCGTCGGTTACTCAGTGCAATGTCCTGGTCAGGCTACTGGTACGTACGTTGACAATGTGGTACTTGCTGTGTCAGATTTGACATGTGTCAGATTTGACACAATCTCATCTTTCATTTCTGAGAAGCTTGCAGTGCTAGTGCATAATGCTTTAAAGTTACTTTCCCTTGCAGGTTATGTTGACAAAGAACTTAACTGCTACGGTTTATCAAGTTCTGCGAAAAGCGGGAAAGTAACTTGAAACCATGTGTTGATTGATGATTTGAGCTTATAAGAGAGAAAAGGATTCCAAAGAGCCTTAGCTTCTGGAGAATTAAGCAAAATGATTCAACCATGGGCCAATATCTTCCAATCTCTTCACCATTTAACCATGATATGCCTAATGCCTTTCCCCATACTGATCATATCAAGCCCAACCGCTCACTCCAATACTATGTTAAGATATATTAGGTCAATAGACAACTCACCTCCATGGTTTGGTACAACTTTTGTTATTGGTTATCATACAAATTACTAGTATGCCATTGCAAACAAATAGCCCACAATATACATATAGATCCCACTCGTTCTGGTCCCTGGAGTTGTAAACATTAACACAAAGCCAATCACAAACATATGATTCTTGTTCTTTACTTACAATCGCTTTGTGATCACCCGTGTTCAGAAGCAACTTCAAGACTCATATGTTCTGTTATCCCATCCATGGTTTTCCTTATGATAGCTTTGTGATCACCAGCGAGACCACTTGACGAAACACCTGTATACTTGTAACTGATGTAGAATATTGCATTCTCTGCGTGGAGCTTCTCACGCGCCTCACTTATGTAATCTTCTTTAGTTTCTACAACTACCTTGTTGATCTCCACCAATTCCTGGAGTCACATTGGCAAGCGTAAGAGGAAGGAGAGAAGACAACACGTAGAAAAGAAATAGAAAAAAGCTTTATTTTTCTAGCAAATTCAAGGACATACAGGATTTGTTTTGGCTTTGGAGTAGAATGCGATCTCGATGAATAGATGCAGCCATTCATTCTCATGCAGCTCTGATTCTTGCACCTGTGGTGATGATGCAGAAACAAAAATGCATTTATTACCTACTACGTTGGTTACAAATTTCAGTACTGCTACTCAAACTAAAAGAAGATTAAACTCCACTCTGGACATCTTACCACGTAATACTTTTTATTGTCACTGGTCAAGGCCTCATCAGACAACCATTTGGGCATTTCACCTGTGTAGAAGGGATCTATTTCTTCATCCCGGTCCCAATAATCATCCACAGGCTTGTTGCCTTTAAAAAGTGATGATCTCTATAATCAGTTAGTCCTCTCTAGTGATTGATCTCTAAAGAAAAGACAGTGGTAAAGAAGAAAATGTAACGTACGTACATGTGGGTCTGCAGGCAAAGATCCTCCAGGTATCTACAACATAGGTGTCGTCGTCTGTACATCCAGCATCGCTGAACAAAATTTGAAAGAGAAGACACAGTTGGAGGCCGGATCCATTGCCTCCAAAGTGATGTAGTAGTCCAAGTCACAAGTGAACAGAGTGTTATACTTTTCCCAGCGTACAAACTTTAAGCTTGTCCCCTGACAACCAAAATATGAACAGAGAGAATCAAGGCAGGGTTCTTTTATAACCAAGGAAGGTCATATGATGAGAAACAAGGAGGAGATTACAAGACATATAAATAAATAAAGAGAATATTATCATTGAGAGTTACCTTGTGAAAATTGTAGCAGTAGAGACCAAGCCTAGCATAAAGGGTGAGATGATCATAATCATCGCGCAAACGAGGCCTAACTATTTTAAATTCCGAGGAAGAGCATCCAAAATCAAAACCCGACAAAACGACAACGGTAAAATCAAAATCAATGAAAAAAAAAAAAACTATCCCTGATCCTTGAGAACCTCTAATTAAGAGATCAAAATCAAGAATATTACATAGGCCAGTTGGTGATTTTTCTTAAGCCAAGCCCTTAACTTTTTCATTCTTAGCCTTGACGTCGATGATCTTGCAATTTCAAGCCTCCCGAATTCACTTATCGCCACCACATCCATATCTTCTAGCCAAGCCCTAAACCTCTCAAATCCTCATCTCATCTCCCTCGCTTTTCTTAGTTGTATACAAAGAAAAAAAAACAGTTCAAAGCCCATAAACCGGTCGGTGGCCCATATTAAAGGGATAGAATGAAGAACGTAACTGCGGTTTATCAAGATCTGCTAAAAGCTGATGCAATGTTTGAGGTATACTAATCTTTATTTGCCTGAATGCAATTTGGATGAACAATATTCATATTTTTGGCTGCTTCTTTGGAAGTACTTGTCTGAATGCTTTGTTTATGACTGTTATGTGGAAGACAAAGATGTGACATTGTGATGTGGATTTTAATTATTTAGTGTCGTGATGTGGGTTTTTTCGCATTACATATTTCGTTTTAATTAGGTCAATAGACATATATATTTAACACCGGCATTCAGAAGCAATTTCAAGACTCATATGTTCTGGTATCCCATCCACGGTTTTCCTTATTATAGCTTTGTGATCACTTGAAGAAACACCTATATGCTTGTAACTTATGTAGAAGATTGCATTCTCTGCGCAGAGCTTCTCACGCGCCTCAGTTATGTAATCTTCTTTAGTTTCTACAACTACCTTGTTGATCTCCAAGGGTGGGGAAGCCATTAATTCCTAGAGTCTCATTGGCAAGCGTAAGAGGAGAGAGAGAAGAAGAAGAAGAAGAAAAAAGCTTTATTTCTCTGGATTGCAAATTCAAGGACTTACAGGATTTGCTTGTAAGAATGCCATTTTCATGAATAGCTGCAGCCAGTCATTCTCATGCAGCTCTGATTCTTGCACGACGTAATACTTTTTGTTGTCAGTGGCCAAGGTCTCATCAGGCAACCATTTGGGCATTTCACCTGTGTCCCGGTCCCAATTATCATTCACAGACTTGGCACCTGCTCTCTATAAACAGTTAGTCCTCGATCTCTAAAGGAAAGACAGTGGTAAAGAAGAAAAGCATACGTACATGTGGGTCTGCAGGCCAAGACCCTCCAGGTTTTTACACGATAAGTACCTTGGGTAGAACATCCAGCAGCACTGAACACAGTCTGAAAAGAGAAGAAAGAGTTGCAGGACGGATCCCTTGCCGCCAAAGTGATGTAGTGGTCAAAGTTAGAAGTGAACTCAGTATTATACTTTTCCCAGCGCACAAACTTAAAGTTTGTTCCCTGACAAGCAATATATCAAGAGAGGAATCAAGGCTAGGAGATTGATTACAAGACCCCATGAATAAATAAAGAGAGACTATTATTGAGGGTTACCTTTTGAAAATTGTAGCAGTAGAGTCCAAGCCTAGCATAAAGGGTGACATCATATTCATTGCTCACAGGAGGCTCAACTATGCAAAAGTCAGATCCATAATCAAAACCCTGGCAAATCGAAATCAAATTCAATATCAAAACCAAAACCATCCCTGATAGGAAAATAGTAATATTCCTGAGACGAAAACGAAACCTAATAAGAGATCAAAATCGGATTTTACATACATAGGCCAGTTGGGAATTTATCTTACGCAAACAAACCCTTATCTTTTTCCCTCTTTTCCTTGCCGCTGCTGCTCTTGCAATTTCAAGCCTCCCCAATTCACTTACAATTATCACCTCAACCTCCTCCTCCATATCTAGCCAACCCCTAAATCTCTCTCGTATTTCTTTGTTTTGTACAAAGGAAAAAAAAAAAAAACAGTTGAATCGTAACAAATATCAGCGGTCGGTGGCCCAGTTATAGCTTGTGATGATGAAAACTGTGTTAAGTTAAATAAATGGGGATTTTGTTTTATCGTTTTGGACTTAACAAAAAGAAATACAAAATATCTCTTCCTTTGAATCCCAGATCTCACATGTTTTGCATCATCATCTTTTAACTTGTTCTTTGCTTACACAACTGAAACTTTCCTTTTGGACAACGTTATCTTCATGGGATCGCCTCCTTTCTCCTCGAAGATCACCAGCTCATTCCCGGAAGACTTGAACCATGATCTTGGAACATGATACCTAATAAGCCATTAAAAAACAAACAATAACCAAAGAGAGACATGTAAAAACAAAGATGACAACTCTCTACTGGCTTTCTAGTTTTACCATCTCTGAGATGGCTCTCCACATCCAGTTAGGCATTTATCCGGCATGAATTTGCCTCTGTAATCGCATTCTTTTACGCATTCATCATTCGGGGTGCTCTTTCTTGCTATCCTGGGCCAATATCTTCCTATCTCTTCCCCGTTTAACCATGCCATGCCTTTTCCCATACTCATCATATCAAGCCCCACCGGCTCACTCCCAGAAGGTGGGTCTATCACAACCTACCATAAGATCAGATTTTTAGATAACTTTATCTTCTACAATCTTGCTTCTTGTCCAAGAGTTACTACTACATTTTTACCTTATACCAAGTCAAAGGCTGTTTCTTTGGAGGTTTCGTAGTCACCGTCCATTTCACAGCCCCGGAGTCACCTGGCTTGAACAGTTCTAGATGCACTCCTTGCACGCCGAGCTGCAAGATTTCATGGGAATGTATGTTGTTGAGAAACTCGTTAAAGAGAGAATCACTCAGGAGCACATGAGAGAGCTTTCTAGACACAGAATTATATTACCTTGTAGGACCATTTGCTGTTTGTCAAATTTAATGTGCCCTTGTTGAAACCTTTGATTGAGACGCTTGTAAGTCCAGCTCCAACCCATTCATAAAAGGATCCTGCATTCTGTGGCAGAGGAAAGTTACCGAATGTATGAGTGCAGATGATGAAGCAACACCGCTATGATATTTGGATTTCTGTTTATATAATTACCGAAAGACCAACAGTCATGCTAAGCAAATCAATATTGTTTTCGCCCGCTTTGAGAGCAACTGATTTCTTGAGTTTGAAAGGCACATGAGTCCCATTCCCTGTCGCAGTTCCTAGAAACCAGTAGTCATATATACGCCCAATCAATTAGAAAATTGAGTGCGAGAAATAACAAAAGATTCACAGAGAGATTTTTAGAGTACCTAAGTACTCTTTGTTTATGAAAACATGAAGAGTATGTCCCTTTGATTCAATAAACAGAACAGGAGGACTTCCTTTCTTTAGGAACTCTTCATTAGTACTGACTGTTATACTGCAACAGATTAAATACATCTGCTTCAGGTTCTTTCAGATTTCAAGTAATTAACAGTAACAGTATTCATGTACTGACCTTGTTGTGTACCAAAGATAGTCAGTTGTGTCCTTTGTGGTGTTAATATGATCGACAAGTTCGTTTTTCACAAAGTCTGCTTCTCCCCAAATACCCGGTTTCTCAGAGAACACTTCCCATTTAAGACCTGATGAAGATCTCAAATCTTCAGGTAACATTTCAACCTTGGAGAACTTCGAAGTTACCTGTTGCAAAATGTAAAATCAGCCTTTTGCTAGTTGTGTTTTCTTTATGTCATTGTCCAAACCAGTTACTCTTACCTCTTACCTTTGCTGTGTTGAAAACCTCGTTCTTGCAGTCAGGTAGAATGCTAACTGACCAAGCAGGCAAGTGGTATGACGTGTTTCGAAACATCACCGTCTTGTCATTTTTATCATCCAAGTTTGACAGAAACGCAGCACAAGTTCCCGAAGAGTCTGTGTACACATCAGCCTGAAAATCAAAAACAAACCATCAGAAAGAACATTCTGACAGAAACAGAAGTCTTTCATGGGGAAAAATAGAAAGTGTACCTCGAGTGAATGGCCTAATGTAAAATTTTGATGCTCGCCATTGATTAGCAAGTTTTCAGAGAGCATTATAGCTTTGTGGAGATCCTTAAGGTGTCCCCATTTTGGTAATCTAGGCAATCCTGATAAATGAATTGAACATAAACATTAGTCATAACCGTTGAAGAGTTATCTCACTACATAGTGATCTCCTTTGTTACAAACTCACCATACTCATCGATCGGAGCTTCATAGTCATAGCTTGTAGTGATAAAAGGTCCTCCTGAAGTACGTCCAAAATTCGTTCCTCCGTGATACTACACCAAATTCAGACAAAACATACATCCAAAATCCATTTAGATCAACATACATCCAAAATCCATTTAGATCACAAACTGATACAGATCTAACTAACTTCCTCGTCTTGAAGAAACTGACAAATATTACCATGTAGTAATTGTGAACACTTCCACCTTTCCCGAAAAACCGAGCAACAGAGTAAGCTACATCCTCTGCTGGTCTGTGAGGGTCTCTGCCTCCAAAAGTTTTAAACCTAGAAGAAAAGAAAAACTCTTTTCAGACCGCGAAATTCAGATTCACTTGCTAATGAACAAGAAGCTCCAAAAGACTCCAACTTCGTATGAAACTGGATTCAAGGAAATGTTAGCGGAACCAGAAAACAATCTACTTACCATCCAGGCCAGTTCTCAGTCCAAATCTTGGGTTTATCTGGTGTATTAGGTGTGAACTGGTCACAGTAAAAGCCATTGCAGGTACTAATCTGCAAAGGGAAATAAGAGAAATCCATCATAACCTGGCACCAGTTGATGCAAGAAAGTATGCAATGAATCAAAAAGATGAAGGTGTGCATAGATCTTGTGTTTCGGATACGATATAGACTTACCACAGTCGGAGGGGCATCCCATTGCTGGCACATCATCCATGGAACACCAATGTTCTGTGAAACAGCCATAGAAGCAGACCATTGAGCATACCTTTTCCCTCCTTCTCCGTAATCCTTTTCATAATACCCGTACTCGTTTTCCACCTAATGAATCACAATATCAAGAAAAACATTCTAAAAGGAAACAAAACGATGCTGAAATTTTATATGTTGTCATTTGTCTTGCCTGAGACAAGATTATTGGACCGCCCTGTGGTGCGAAAAGCTTCTCTTTTTTCAACAGGTTTACTATATACGTCGTGAAACTCTCCATGTAATGCTGAAACAAAAAAAAAAATCCACAGAGCAAATGAAGTTTCAGTTGCAGAGAAAAAAAAACAAATTCCGCAATATTTTTCTGTCTAACCTTCCATGGCTCATTATCCGCCCTGAAGACTGTTCCTGGCACGTAATGCAGCCAAACCGGGACTCCCCTATAACCACAAGATTCAATTAGAAAAACTAAAAAGGGGGTACTATATAGTGACAAAGGAAGAATTGTATAGAAAGGGCATTACCCGTAATTCCACTCGGCCGCAACAAAAGGACCAATTCGTAGAATCATATGCATTCCAGCTTGCTGAACAATCTTGATGAACTTCACAATATTATACCTGCCACCAAAATAATACTACAAGCCAACAAGATGATTATTCAGCAATATTTCAACAAACATGTGGGAGATTTCAACCAGTGCAAAGTCGTTGAAATCTATACCTTTCGAGGAGATGGCTCATGGCCATTCCAAAACACATAAGACTCGATTGCGTTGCAGCCTCCTTCTTTTGCTGTTTGAACAAGTGATGGCCACATCTGCAATTTGAGGATGAAATTGAGCATAAAGCACCATTTAAGAACAGAGGCCTAAATCATTAATCGAACCCAAGCTCATAACTAAAGAACTGAAGACTAGACATTTTCTTAATCATTTATCCCCAGAAAGTAAGAACCCAGGAAGGAAAACACACTTTGACAAGAGGATGAAAATGGAAGAAATTTAGAAATACCCAAATCATTTCCCATCAAACCCATGATTTTAAATGTCTCTTAGAGACTGATTCCAGAATCTCCCTCTAAAAGAATTAACTAAACCCTCACAAGCTCGAAACTTCGTTCGATTCAATGTGAGCATAAAGCACAAATCCAAAAAAGCTTCCAACTTTAACGGAAAATGAAAGACTAAAGAAAGAGAAAAGGAAGAAGAAGTCACTAACAGCTGGAACGCTTCTCGGATAGTGAATGGCGGCGGAGATAATGAGCTGACGGCGATTGCCGATGGAGAGAGAACGGTGGTCGTAGGATACATTCGCGGCGTCGATAGATCTCCACGAAAAGAGAAACACCAACCCCACCAGAATCGCCGTAGACGCAATGCTTTCAGTAACGCGATTCATTATTGTTAGCTCTTCTTCGTCGTCGAATGTTCGTTCTTCTAAAACTCTAAAGCCCTCTTTTTTTTCAATTAGGAGGGAAAAGAAAACAAGATTTATCCTTTTAGAACTTCCAAATATCTTTCTTGTTTTGTGTGCTTAGTGTGTGTGACCAAATCACACTCTTCAGTGTGGCTTATCAATATTTTAGAATAATATATACTTTGAAGCATCACTAGTTCTTCATATTTTGTCTAAGACACATTCACTAATTAATCTTTTCAAAATGTACTGTATTATTTATTCGCTACCGTGTATAAAGAAACACTAGAGTTTGAGTTCTTTCCTTTAATAATAAAAAGTAACAAATACCCTTTTTACCATAAGCGAAGAAACACTATGATATATGGCGTGGCGCTTAAACAGACATTCGTCATGGTCCATAGATTAGCGAAGAAGTAAAGCCAACTTGAAGAAAGAAAAAGACATATAGAGAAAAGTGAAGTCATTAGCCTCTTTACCCAAATTTGACTTTCCTACAAGAAACAAGATCTAAACCTTTCCTCTATCCTCGATCGTCCAAACAAATAAAAACAAAGAAGCTTTACACATCTACGAGAAAATCAAAATGATTGTTCATTTGATCTCTACAAATTCATACTCCATCGAAGGAGTATATTGGTTACTTGATATGCTATTATTTTTTACTTTGATCATCAAAGGAAACACATCACATGCACAGAATAAAACGAAAATTAAATGAAGTATTGATATAGCAGATTTTTTATCGACACAAATATTCAACAACGCTGCTCTCCAGCCAATCCACGTTTTCTGGTACATTCATGTCACCACGTTGCCTTCTATCCTCTATTTAACCAACCAATTTTCTTGTGTTCTGATACTGTAATAAAATTCTCTCTGGTTTCAAATTATTTCCATTATGATTCCTGCCTAATCAAATAAGAAAGGAAAATCTTTCTTTTTTTCTTTTCAAAAACATATATATTTCAAGTGTTTGTGGCTTGTAGGTAAATCGTAGTTAAAACGTGGGTCGTCTTCTTTGACAATTATTTAGAAGAAACCAAAATATTAAAAAAAAACCATTCAAAAATGTAGGAAATATTCCCTCCGTTTCAGTTTAGTTATCGTTTTAGGATTTAAATTTTGTTTCATAATAGTTATCGTTTTAGGTTTTCAATGCAAATGTTTGGTCAAAATTCCAGTTTTATCCTTAATGTTTTAATATTTTGGCCAATGAAATTTTTTATAAAATATATTAATAAAGGGTAAAACAGAAAATTAAATGTTTTTCTTAATTTGTGTGAAAAAACCTTAAACGACAACTAAAACGAAACGGATGGAGTACATGGTTAATACAATACCGAAAATATTGAAATCTTAAATTCTTAGGCCCCAGAGTTCCCGGACTCTGCTTCTTGCGCTAAACCAACGAGCCACTCTTGGAGCGTGAACCACACCTTCTCAGGGACGCATGTGATTTTACAACGTTTGGTGACTTCAACAGTTAAACGGCGCGTCAAGTGTTTGCGAATGTGGTGTCGGTGAAGAGACAACTGGATTCGCCGAACCAACAAAGTCTCAGGCTCTAGGCTGGACCCTTGTGTACTTGGGATACGAGCGTGATCGGTGGATCTCTCTTTTTCTATTTGTTTTTTCTTCTAAAAATATAAATTAATTTATCTCATCTTCAGCGATAGCTATGTTGGTAGTTGTCACGTCACCATATATATATATATATATATATATAGTTTATCAACTGATTAATTTTTCTTTTATAAGAAGTTCCTTTTAATGTGACACTTTAGATTTAAGAAACTGTATATTTGATTCAATCTGTGTATTGCATCATTTCAATAAAATTTATTGTTTGTTTAAAAAGAACCCCCCAATTACCCAAAGAACATTAAAAAAATAATATTCAGGAAAGTTGAGATTGAGCTCGGTTCGAACCAATAACCGATATTGTATTCAAAGATATCCCAAGAGGATCACCACCTTCCTCTTCAAATACCACCAATAAATTTCCAGATGGTTTTAAAAACTCCCGAGGAATATGATATCTGCATTAACCAAATCCAAGTCCAAATCAAACAACAACAAAAATAGAACAAACTTCAGTTAAAATATAATTTGTGTGTTTTTCTATAGGTACTTACATAGATTGAGAAGGATGTCCAGAAGGAGTGAGGAATGAGACCCAATAACGACCAATGCTTTCACCATTCACCCAAATTTCTCCTTTACCCATACTCGACATATTCAGGCCCACCGGCCCATCTCCATTCGGCCCATCAAATATTGTCTGTATATTCACATTTGTCACCTATACTATTCATAAATTACACATTTAGTACTTATTTACAAATGTATATAAGGCATACCTTGTACCAAATGAGAGGGCGGTTCTTAATGAGTCCAGCATTATTCATACTCCACTTCACTCTATTTAAATTCCTCCATTGCTGTAACCTAACTTTCTCTCCAAGCAAACCCACCTACACAATAGTACAATACATACATATTAATAGGTTATGACGTATCAACACAATCTTCAAACAGTTCATGACTCATAAAATGAATGCTTATTTATCATATTACCGAGTAACCCCATTGAGATCCACTCAAATCGATTGGTTTTGTCCCACCACAGCTGATTTGTACTTTGGTTAGTCCATAAGATTTCCTCTCCATGTAAGCTCCAGAGTCCTTTCATTCATAGGGTTGAAGAAAAAGTATTATGATGCTACTATTTTGTGTGTTACTAGAAAATAATAACCGGGTTCTGGTTTAATTGCAAACGTCTTACCGGTAGACCAACCATGCCGCTGAGGATTGATATACTGTTTTGTCCATTGGTTAAGCTAGCCGGAACTTGAAGTTTAACTACCTTTATGTCTCTGCTTCCATGTCCAGATCCTACAGTAGCACACTTTAAGTCTTTAATATATATGTTCATAAATATGAATATTGATTACTTTGGTAACACCGAAGCAAAGTTTGTGAACACATTTTTCTTCCCTGTTGTTACTCTCAATACTTATGTACCTGCTAGTGCATTGTTGACGAACACGTGAACAACATGTCCTGATGATTCAATGTAGATAGACGGGTTCGTGCAGGGTGAATCCGGCTTAAAGCTTACATTGGAAGAACCAAACTCACGTTAGAAAAGATAAATGAACATTAGAAATGTAATGTGTAATGTCTCTTATATTTTACCTTGAAGTGTACCAAAGATAATCAGTTTTGTCCTTGGTCAAATTAGTGTGTTCCAACAAAGCATTTGCCTTCAAAGATGTGCCTGAGAATGCTGGAATTGTTTCTCTAAAACCTTCCCACTTCTCGGGAACGTTGAACACTTGAACCGGCGTTGTAACTCTCTTATTCTTCTCCACATTCACCTTTATTAATTAAGCGGTAAAAATGCTTATATAGTTGTTGATTACTATTAGTATGATCTGAAAGTTCGCAAAATTAAAAGAAGAAAAAAAAGACTTACTTTTGCTGTTTCATAAATTAGGTTTTTGCAGTTCTGAAGAATACCAATTGACTTGGGACTCAAGCTATACGAACTTTTTCTGAATTGTATTTGACTCACTTTGGCGTCATTGTTCACCAGAAACGCAACGCATCCACTGCTCGCGTCTTCAAAGACATAAGCCTGTTGCATTGGTCCCAAGGATAGAATCGTTTGCTTCCCTTGAAGCAGAGGATTTGCAGAGGATTTTATTGCAGCGTGAAGCTCCTTCAAATGACCGTACTTAGGCTGTCTTAAAAGACCTGAAACACACAACACAAGATCAGAATCAAATAATCAGGTTCTTTCGAACAGAGAATATGTTTAAGAGCTTTAGACCAAACCGTATTCGTCAAGAGGAGCTTGGTCATAGTATCCTGTAATGAAATATGAAGATGAAGTCCTTCCAAAGTTTGTTCCACCATGGTACTGTATTGAAACATGGTGGTGAGTTCTTGTTGATCATATAACGCGATTAATTGATAAAGATGTTATCTGATTACCATGTAATAGTTAATGTAACTTCCATTTTTTGCAATGAAAAGAACGGCATGGAAAGCAATATCCTCGGCAGATCTAATATAAGGCTCTGTTCCATAAACCTGAAAGCTTTTTTCATCACACAAAAAGAGTAAACATAGCTAAATTTTTTAACAAGAAACCTAACGAAATAGACAATGAAGTAAAACCCTTACAATGATGTCCAATCCTCAGTCCACATTTTCGGCTTATTAGGTGAGTTTGGTCCGGGAAACGTCTCGCCGCATCTCATCCCGTTGCACGTATTGATCTACAAATTAGAACAGGGATCTTTGAGAAATATAAGAAACATTGATCTTAGATAAGTAACCGGTACGAACCACGGGATCAGGAGCGTCGGGCGACTTGCACATGATCCATGGCACTCCGGTCTTAAGCCCGACCGCCATTTGGCCTGCCCACTTGATGTACGATGCTCCTTTCTCATGGAACGCCGCCTCCACGTTTGCATACTCGTTCTCGATCTTTACGATTAAAAACCACAAGAACCCAAACCATCATTAAGAAACTCTATTTTTCTAGGCAGTGGTCCGGTTAAAGGTAATTAATGCTACTGCGTTGTTTCGGTTCGATAACATTGAATCTGACGAATAATATTGAAAAGAAAAATACCTGAGAAAGAATAATTGGACCTCCTTGAGAAGCATATAAGCCCTCAGATTTCATCAAATTTACGATCTTAGTGGTGAATTTTTGCATGTGGAACTTGAAGGGTTCATTGTCGGTTCGATATACCATACCGGGTACATCTCGTAACCAAAATGGCAATCCCCTGGTTAATCAAACCGGTCGTTAATATCAATTCAATGTTAATTATACACGTTGACTATATCATAAGTAAAAACAAAAATTTGGTTCAGTTGATTAGTAGTACCCGTAATTCCACTCTGCTTCTATGAAGGGTCCAATACGTAGACAGACATAGAGACCTTGTGATCTAATTTCTTTAATAAACTTCACTAAATCGTTTCTTCCACTAAAATCATACTGCAATATTCATTTTATTCCAAGAAATTATATATTTTCTTTCCATATATAGAAAATGAAAAAATTTAAAATTATTTTTGAGAAATTAAATAAATGGAACGGACCTGTCCGAGCTTAGGCTCATGGAGGTTCCAGAAA